ATTATGGATGTCAGCACCTTATGAGTGCCCCACCTTGTTACATACCAACTTAGACCTCATTGGTCACTCCCGTGCCCCTTATAATTCTCAACGTCCATCCTCTAAAGTCCCATCACAAGGGAGAAACACAAACAGACGAAACATTTGTTTTTGCCCGTATTGAAAGGGCTGTACGACGTATGGACCTACAAACGCTATCTCCCTGTACAAGAATCGGGGCTAAACCGTGCGGTCTTGATTTGAAGCTTTCGTGACTGCAGGAATCCATACTCGTTGGTTCTTTCGCTAAAGTCACGTAGGTAGAAAATAAATCACGACGTTTTGATCGCAACACAGCAGTGCTCCAGCTGTATCTGTTCCACCTGCTGACGGCCGCTTGTGTAGCGATCGAAACATCGTGATTCATTGTATTTCACACCCACGTGACTTTACCGAAAGAACCAAAGAGTATAACCCGCATGGGTTGACAGCTCCGGCGTTAGTTGCCTGGACATTGCTACAGTTGCCACCGATCGAACGTGGAGTTAGAGTAGGGATTGCTTAAAGGACGCACGTTGGGTTACAGGCCCCCCCCCCCCCCCTAAAAACAAGGCCTGTTAAAGGAGAGAAATACAGGGTTGTAAGTGCGACGAGTTTTGATGGTCCCAGCCTGGCCAGCAATGCCTTCCGTAAGAGTGGAGATCATAGGCTCACCTGGAGAGCCATTGACACGTACGCCCATAGATTTACACTGAGACCCACTGACACGGAGAACCCTGGGCTTACACAGAGACCCATTGCAACGGGGCCACACGCCTTCCCTCTCACGTACCTCGCCCATCGTAATGCCTCAAACACCTGGAATTACATCGTCTCACAAATGTCCAGGGCTACTGTCCTATCTAAATCACAATTTGATGCCAGGCAGTTGATTCTTTTCTATAACTTCACTTGTTACATTGGTACAATTAGTATAGTATCTGGTTTTTTTAATGTTTCGCGTAACTTTTTTAAAAAAAATTTCGAGCCGACTTGCTGCCGCACGGAATTCACGAACGTCGATGTATGTTTGAGCACGATTCTCGACATCTCACGCGGCGCACACCAGCGTCGTCGTCGTCGTTGTTTCTACTCGGAACTCGACCAGCTTCGTCCCTTGCACCACTTTGGTTCTATTAGGGGCCGTCCATAAATGACGTCACGCGATTTTGGACGATTTTTGACCCCCCCCCCTCGTCACACGGCGTCACAAAAAGTCAAACTCCCCCCCTCCTCAAATATGACGTCACAAAACTCTGCCCCCCCTCCCAAAAAATTAAACATGCTTTAAATCGCTTTAAATTATTGTCATTGTAGTGCGTAGTTAATGTGGCGCTGCACTCTGATGTTGTAGGAGAAAACATTTATTAAAAAGTCTATTTAATTAAGTAGAACGTGTTGTCTATATTTATTTAAAGTTGCACAATTTGATGTGACGTCACATTTCTCACCCCCCCCCCCGTCACACATCGTCACAAATGTCTGACCCCCCCCTAGATGCGTGACGTCATTTATGGACGGCCCCTTAGATCGTGTAGTTGGGCATAATGTAAATATTCTCACTGTAACCTCAAATCTTGTAACTCAATTTTAACCCACTTCCCAATGTGGTTTCGACTGCAAACTTGGTATACTTATGTCATACTGATGACAATACTATATTCCATAATAAAAAATAAATAAAAACATTTTGAAACATTATTTGTTATATGTTATGTTTCGCCTTGGGTCTAATTGTACACGGTCAACTGACGTTGGCTGTAATTGGCCACGGTCCCTTACGTTGTGGCAAGCTTCGAGCCACTTCCTGGAGTCGTGGAGTTCTGCCATTACGAGTACATTTCATAAAAGCGAGTTTAATTTGTTTTAATGTTTCTTATTTAACATTCCGCCCGTTTTGCTGAAACACCAAAATCAACCGAGGGCACATTTCGCCCATGACGTGCCAACTTGATATTGCCCACGCGTCTCGCTGATCTCATTGGCTCCGTCGGGTGGCGAAGGGCTAAGTAGTTTAACGATATTTACAACATACCTACACAAATGATCTAACCTCATTTTTTAAATTATTCATAAAGTATCTATCGCGTAGCTTTTATCTTGCCATACTCGATTTGAAAGCTTTTGCAATTCATGTATACTGCTACCATAATCAAGGAGTCATGTTTGCAAAGACCACAATACCTGCAGTCATAATGCAAACAAAAAAAAACACAACTCTGATAATGTGCACTGTCCTTGAAGTTGATTGGTCCACACCCGAGACAGCTTTTCTTAGAGCCTAGTCTCACATGGTGTTGGACCAGATGACGCCAAAAGGCGCACAACTCAAAGACAACGCACCATCAGAGTATGAGACCTCGGGGTAAGCATTTACACCATTGGAACCTCATTTGCCAGTAAAAATATGATAATTGTTTTTTTTACCCTTCTATCTGGCAACAAAACTGACACCTTTTTACAAGGAGTCATGTTTGCATAGACCACAATACCTGCAGTCATAATGCAAAAAAAAAACAACTCTGATAATGTGCACTGTCCTTGTTTGCATTATGACTGCAGGTATTGTGGTCTATGCAAACATGACTCCTTGTAAAAAGGTGTCAGTTTTGTTGCCAGATAGAAGGGTAAAAAACCAATTATCACCCACGTGTCCCCCCGTCAAGGTCCCGCAGATCTTCTCTGTGCATTCCCAGGTCCGAGACGTCTATTTGTGACCACGAGATCCCCCCCCCCCACCGCGTAGCTCCCAGAACAATCAAATCCTGCTTATACGTTTCCGGTTCTTAAACTTTTAGTTCATTGAGTAAATTAATTATTACAATGTGATGATGGTAGTAATGTGCGCCTTTTGGCGTCCTCTGGTCTAACACCGTGTGAGACTAGGCTCGAAAGAAAGCTGTCTCTGGTGTGGACCAATCAGTTTCAAAGACAATGCCAGTATATACTCAGAGTGTGTTTTTTTGGTTTGCATTTTGACCACAAGCATTGTGGTTAATGCAGACGTGATTCCTTGTAAAAAGGTTTCAGTTTGGTGTTTTAACGTCTCAACACTGGAAGATTTGCTGGTTTATCCAGGATGTTTCTGTTGCGCGTCGTCGCTTTAAGATGTTCTCTGTTCATATTTTGTTTGTTGCGGTTGCACCCGAGTCAAGAGCCGCATGGCTCACAGGGTTATCTCCATAAACATAAAAGGGAAAGCTGTGATTACGAGTGTCTGTTCAAAATGTTTAGCTACTTCCCGACATGCAACAAACTTGAAATTTGCCATGTGGGTACTTTCCAGACTTTACTCCATGCAAAAAATATAAAAAATACACTTATTTTTTGGGGGGGAGGGGGGGGCTCAATAATGCATATATTTTTTGCACGGCTAGTGAGTTGCGACGTCAAATCTGTCATGTGACCCGCGCATGTGGAAGCGTCACGCATTGTAGTGTAGCGGGTAGCGTGCCGCGCTACGAACCCGGCGACCCGAGTTCGATTCCTGCTCACGGCCGACGATTATTTTAACCGGTCCTGTGCCTCCCCTAGGTCGACTCAGCCTCAAACGAGTAAACTGGTCTGCTGTATGAACATCGCCATTGGGGGGACAAAGGCGGTCGGGCGTGGTTAATGCAAGCCCCAGGCGAAGCCGGGTAGTAAAGCTCGTACCTAAAAAATGAAACTTGAAACACCCTTTCTGTTGCCGGAAAAAAACCGATTCTCATCTTACAATGTATTTATAATATAATTAGATTCATGTCGAGTGTATGTTGCCGCTGTGTCCTTCGTGGCGCTTAGAGGTCCTTGATGAAATGCGCTACGTAAATGCAATTATTGTCATCGTCGTCATATAAAAAGAATATATTTCGAGATTTAAAAAAAAAGTCACTTTGGCTGCCCCATACCGTGTCAACCCCCATAGGGGTTACCCGTATTCTTGTAGAGGGAAATTGAGTTCTCAGGTCCATGCGGGAAAAAAACTAAAGTGTCTATTTGTTTGTGTTTCTCTCTTGTGATGACTTTGTAGGATGAACGTCGAGATTTCTAAGGGGCACGGTAGTGACCAATAAGGTCTGAATTGGTCTGTAATAAGGTAGGGTTGACAGGTATGCTATACACTACACTATACACTACTATACACTACAATATACAGCAAGGCCGTAATTATAATTCGTATTTGGGGGGAAACATGCTCAAAATGTCCCCCCGCCCCCCCCAGTATATTGCTATAAATAGATTTCTGTTTATATGATTGTGGTTATGGTTGTACTTTATCCATCCCTAATCTCTGCCATTACATACAATGAAACAAGAAAAGGTAAACAAGAAAAAACAGAGTAATGTAATACAATACAGTATTAGACATTATTGTAAAAAATAAATAAAAAGTCATCCCATGTGTTCGTGAATTTTGAAATATTTTAGGCAGGAAATTCGTTTTCAAAGATTTGGTCTCCCCTAATGTTGACGCCATGGCTACGGCCTTGATATATACTCCACTATATACTACGTGATACACTACATTATACCAAACCTGTGAACCCATACTGTTTACCCCGTATTCTTATATACAGGGAAATTGAGTTTTCAAGTCCATACAGCGTACAGCCATTTCCGTAGGGCAACACAAATGTTGTCTATCTGTTTGCGTTTCTCCCTCGTGATGGGACTTTGTAGGATCAACGTTGGGTTTTATAAAGGGGCACGGGGGTGACCAATCAGGTGTGAAAACCAAAGCAAGAAAAAAAAACACCACTTTTTTCAAAATTTTCTTGCTGTGGTTTTCACACCTGACGATGATTGCTTGTGTTGCAATCGAAACGTCGTGGTTTATTTTATTGTTTTATTTTTACCATTTTATTATTTCCCTTCTACGTAACTTTACCGAAAGAACAAAGAATTTCTCTGCTGCAGCTGCTGCTGCTGCCCCATTCATTCTCGCACCCCGGTGACGTCACGGAGCCACGTGGTGTGAGCGCGCCGGGCGGTGACGTCACTGGCCTGGCCCGGGCCCTCCAGCAAGGCCACTGGGCACATTTTTTTTATTTTTGTTTAAATTTTATTTTAGTTAAAAGTCATCAATTACGATGCTAAGTGCAGCGCCCGCGTGACTTGTCACATCGGCAAGTTGATGTTTGTGACTGTGCTGAAGTTACGCGGGGGGGGGGAGGGGTTCATACACCGCGACTCCTCGCCACTCCACCGCTGGACGGTGAAGGCCGCAGGCCGCCCACGGGACACGTGGCGGGGGTGAGTGGGGGGGGTGAGTGGGGGGGGAGTGGGGGGTGAGTGGGGGGGGTGAGTGGGGGGTGAGTGGGGGGTGAGTGGGGGGGTGAGTGGGGGGTGAGTGGGGGGGGTGAGTGGGGGGGGTGAGTGGGGGGTGAGTGGGGGGGGGGTGAGTGGGGGGTGAGTGGGGGGGGTGAGTGGGGGGTGAGTGGGGGGGGTGAGTGGGGGTGAGTGGGGGGGGTGAGTGGGGGGGGTGAGTGGGGGGGGTGAGTGGGGGGTGAGTGGGGGGGGTGAGTGGGGGGGGGTGAGTGGGGGGGGGGTGAGTGGGGGGTGAGTGGGGGGGGGGTGAGTGGGGGGGGGGTGAGTGGGGGGTGAGTGGGGGGTGAGTGGGGGGGTGAGTGGGGGGTGAGTGGGGGGGGGAGTGGGGGGGAGTGGGGGGTGAGTGGGGGGGGTGAGTGGGGGGGGTGAGTGGGGGGGTGAGTGGGGGGGGTGAGTGGGGGGGGTGAGTGGGGGGGGTGAGTGGGGGGAGTGAGTGGGGGGTGAGTGGGGGGTGAGTGGGGGGGTGAGTGGGGGGGTGAGTGGGGGGGTGTGGGGGGGTGAGTGGGGGGGGTGGGGGGGGGGGAGTGGGGGGGTGAGTGGGGGGTGGGTGGGGGGGTGAGTGGGCGGGGGGTGAGTGGGGGGGGTGAGTGGGGGGGGGTGAGTGGGGGGGGGGGGTGAGTGGGGGGGGTGAGTGGGGGGTGAGTGGGGGGTGAGTGGGGGGTGAGTGGGGGGGGTGAGTGGGGGGGAGTGGGGGGGGGGTGAGTGGGGGGGTGAGTGGGGGGGGGGTGGTGGGGGGGGGGTGAGTGGGGGGGGTGAGTGGGGGGGTGGGTGGGGGGGGTGAGTGGGGGGTGAGTGGGGGGGTGAGTGGGGGGGGGTGAGTGGGGGGGGGTGAGTGGGGGGGGGTGAGTGGGGGGGGGTGAGTGGGGGGGGGTGAGTGGGGGGGGGTGAGTGGGGGGGGTGAGTGGGGGGGTGAGTGGGGGGTGAGTGGGGGGTGAGTGGGGGGGGTGAGTGGGGGGTGAGTGGGGGGGGTGAGTGGGGGGTGAGTGGGGGGGGGGGTGAGTGGGGGGGGGGTGAGTGGGGGGGTGAGTGGGGGGGGTGAGTGGGGGGTGAGTGGGGGGGGTGAGTGGGGGGGGTGGGTGGGGGGTGAGTGGGGGGGTGAGTGGGGGGGGGGTGAGTGGGGGGTGAGTGGGGGGGGTGAGTGGGGGGTGAGTGGGGGGGGTGAGTGGGGGTGGGTGGGGGGTGTGAGTGGGGGGGTGAGTGGGGGGTGAGTGGGGGGGGGTGAGTGGGGGGGGGTGAGTGGGGGGGGGTGAGTGGGGGGGTGAGTGGGGGGGGTGAGTGGGGGGTGGGTGGGGGGTGGGTGGGGGGGTGAGTGGGGGGGTGAGTGGGGGGGGTGAGTGGGGGGTGGGTGGGGGGGGGGGTGAGTGGGGGGGGTGAGTGGGGGGGGGTGAGTGGGGGGGGTGAGTGGGGGGGGGTGAATGGGGGGGGGTGAGTGGGGGGGGGTGAGTGGGGGGTGAGTGGGGGGGTGAGTGGGGGGGTGAGTGGGGGGGTGAGTGGGGGGGTGAGTGGGGGGGGTGAGTGGGGGGGGTGAGTGGGGGGGGTGAGTGGGGGCGGGGGGAGGGGGCGGGGGGAGGCGGGGGGGAAGGAGGCGGGGGGAGGAGGAGGGGGGGGTCACCCAGGCAGGCACGCGTGAGACATCCACTGGACGTCCAGTGGATGTCTCCAAGCCCTGGGTCGTCCCCCCGGGGTGGACTCCAACTCGGCCCCTCTGGGCTCGAGTGGCAGTCCCAGCAGGCGAAATGTCCCATTGGGGCATCGGCGGCTCCCGTCTTTATTTCCACAGCTATAGGTGGGCATTCCACGTTCCCGTGACGGGTCAGAGTCCATTCTATGAGGACAACAACCGGCGCGTTAAAAACAAAACCGACCTCACCAATAGTCGTAGGTTGCCGTCAATAACGACACAATCCTGTCATTGATCTTCAACGCTGGTGTCGTCTCCGCTGCGTGTGCATTTAATTGTTATATTAAATTGTGGTGAAGTATCGGGAGGTTGTTCTAACCATACTTCACTACCTGAAGTATTGGGAGGTTCTAACCATATACTACACCGGTGTGGTGAAGTATATGGTTAGAACCTCCCAATACCTGGTCAACACCTTATCAGTGCCCTTCCTTATTACAGACCAATTCAGACCTTATTGGCCACAAGAATACGGGGTAAACCGTGTGGGTTGACATGAGTGTGGAAACGCTGTCTGCCATTCCCTATCCACTGCTGAATGAAGGCCTCCCACGTGACACCGCCATCCCTGGCGGGCCCGTTTCGTGGCACACCATCCGTCTCGTGCTGTCTGCGCTGGAGGTGACCACCACCTCGTTGTCGTCGTCGTCATCGTTGCGTTGTCTCCGTGGTGGTCAAACTCTCAGGTAAGTTTCCTCCCAACGCCTTTGACTGCCATTCCGTCACCAGCTTTAGTTCGTCCGCCATCCTCCCCGCGCCTCGTCGTGTGCCCCTGCCCAAACCCGCTTAGATCCCTAAACAGTCAAATGTCATATTCTTGGTTCTTTCGGTAAAGTCACGTAGAAGGGAAACAATAAAATAATAATAAAAATTCGCTGTCCGTGGTGCTAACGTTGAGAAAAAAACGCCACTTTTTTGAAATTTTCTTGCTGTGGATTTCACACCTGATGACGATTACTTGTGTTGCAGTCGAAATGTCGTGATAATTTTATTGTTTTAGAATTTTTATTTTTTTATTGTTTCCCTTCTACGTGACTTTACTGAAAGAACCAAGAATATGAATCCCTGCAGTGACGAAAGCTTTAAATCAAAAGTCAAATGTCCATGTTTTAAAATTTTCTTTGTATGCTGTTCTACGTGCTCCTCCTCTTCCTTGTCTCCTTATTGTTACAACTAAGTACAGCTTTTAGAAAATAATTGTAGCCTATTTTTTTTAAACAATATTTGAGCATTACCCAAATGAGCCAGTACATCAAAGGCACCTGATCTACTACTGCCATGACACATTTTGTTAATCTGTTCGCTTCTAAAGGTCCTAATTTAAATTCGTGAAAGACGTCCTTGTCGTCGGTGAAAGCGTCTCTTGTCAAAACTGCATTCTCCGTCTACGTTATGCGTACTTAACAAAAATTCAAATGTATACAGTAATCCCTCGCCACTTCGCGGTTCAAGTTTCGCGGCCTCAGTGCATCGCGGATTTTTCGAACTGATTTAAAGGCCTCATTATACCAGTGCAGTAACACCATCATCATCATCATTCATCATCACATTCATCGAACTGCACAGGTCTGTCATCGTCGTCATTGTCATCGTCATTGTCATCGTCGTCGTCGTCATTACTGGAGTCAAGTCTCAAGATACTACTGTCATTGGTGAGTGTAGAACACCATAATACGTATCGTATGAGAGAGAGAGAGAGTGAATGTATAATATTAAGGTTTTATAAGTAAATAGATTTAAGTAAAATATATATATAAAGTATAAATATACATATTTTAAACATTCTGGTACCCACACACACATATACGGAAATTCCTAGGGGGCCAATCCTACTTCGCGGATTTTCACTTATCGCGAGGGGTTCCGGTCCCCATTAACCGCGATAAACGAGGGATCACTGTAATGCGCATTCCATCTTAGGATACCAATGCGTAATTCGTGGAAAGCAGGAAACTAAAACAGAACCCAGGGAGGAACCGAATAAACTAGTGAGGGAAGGCCACTTTAAAGAGATGTGTTTTAAAGCAGACTTAAATATCTCTTACCGACTCTGCCTGATTTCAATTGGCAAAGCGTCCCATAGCTTGAGCGCCACGCGAACAAAAGCCCGATCGATAGTCCGTTGGCCTATGTAGTCGCTTTCTAGTCCCATTTCCCCATTCGTATTTCTGCACGTCATCAGCAGGTCAGGTTTGTTAAACCGATGTCATTGGGTCGCTAAATGTTATTGGCAAAAAGCACTCCACGATAAAGCACGGGGCTCTGTTTACAATTGTAATCAATGTTTTACATAAGCTCATCATGCGTTGTTGTGATGCATTATGGTTGAAAGCTCACATCTTTTCTGCATCTCCACCTATAAATAAGCATGCTTTTCAGTCCTTGGGGCCTATTGGCCTTCGAGACCAATATTATCCGGCCACATTTGTCTCGGAAAGCAAATGTTTGTAATGGTATGCCAGACCACGCGACTGCTTGCCAAAGGGTTTGCGTTATATAATTTATGGGGCAATGTTCACAAGATTGATTGGCCTGTGACTTGCGCTTCTATGACAAGCCCGGATAATTGCCGTTTTTCAAAGGAGCAGTCGTATCTCTAAATATAAATCATTAAACAAGCACAGTGCTGATCCTGAACCTCACATTTTAATAAGAGCGTGCCGCAGTTTTATCGCCACAAGTCGTGTTTGTTACCGCAGCGATAATACATTACGCCGTAATTTTGTACGTGCTGCATTTCAACACACGCAGTCAGAATTTTTGAGATGTCTGTATTGCAGATGCATTCTTGTCGAATTGTTCAATTGAACAATGCTCATGTGACTCGTATTTGGCAATCGATCCTTTTGATATCGATTCTTAGATCTCGCAAAACATGCATAATCATATCGTGCACGTAGTATGTGGTTTTATTTATTTACTTATCCCTATACATCATATGGAATGGGTTTCAAACGATGCCAGCAGCCATTTGTAGCCAGTACACAATAAAAAAAAAAAAATTACATTCTTGAATTCGGGGTTCCTATTCACCAATTCGTCAAGTCGGCCAGCGAACCGTTACACCTCCAACTAATAAGTGCAATGAATTACGCATCCCACATTCAACAAAATAAGGCTTAAATATTTAATCAAAGGATTGAAATTCCTCCTTGCCGCCGCTCTCATTTTTGGCGTGACCCAAACCCCCAGATGCACGCGGCTATAGAAGTTGGTCGGAATGGGGTGGGGGGGGGGCGATGAAAGCATACCATTACCTCCTGCGCACACAGCACATGCAACTATTTTAACAGTACAAGAAGCCGGCCGATTTTTTTTCGCCAGCTTCTAACTCATTTTAAATATACGAAATATATCAACCGGCTGTGTTGAAATGTTACACCGTACTCCATATGTATGTTTTGTCCTTGAATATATATATTTCCTTTTGTTTAAGAGACCCTTTGTACTCTGCCGCGTCTCCCCCTGAGATGTTCTCATTGAACACAGCGGAAACCGTATCTGTACTGCTGATGTCTCGGGCTTTCATGTTTGAATAATAACGCGACTTTTTTTTTTATCGAATCCAGTAAAAAAATGATTGCGTGCCAGAATAAAAATTGGAATAAGCGTGTGCTCAGAACGACGGGCCCGGACGGACGGCTGTACGACGGAAGGCCCCTTGCGAGCGAGAGCGATCGTTTTTTTTTTATTTGCGTGGCGCTAAAGTGCCGAATTTGTCAACGAAATGCGGCACGCCGGTCTCGGCGACTGAAGGGAGGAAAGTTTTGAGTCCGCGTGTTTGACGGTCCCTGAGCCCGTGGATCGGTTACGAGGACGCCGACGGAGAGACACGCATGCTTGGAATTCACACCGAGACAGACAAAGAGAGAACGGATGGATCAGGGCACGAACAAAACAAAAATTAGCAAATCGCACATTCTATTGACTGGTTTAGGGAAAGTAAGTGAGTGGGCTTGGGCGAGACTATGCCAGGAGGATGGATTTTGCCGTAGGGCTAGACTGGTATTTATTATCGCGTGTAAAAAATATATATAACCGTTGCGTTTCTAGGAATCGTCACATTCGAATGCACGTTTCCCAGTCACGTCACAGCGTGCCTGTAAAACCTCGGCTCGCAGATTTCTTCAACGGACGGGATGATTTAAAGAACTTGGCACCGAACATTCGCCTAGGGGGGCCCCTTCGCCGAATCGCCGCTGCAAGTCGGTAAGCACCCCCCCCCATGTCACAGACAGCTTCTCCCCAGCATCCGCCTTGGCAAGGCCGCGCCTGTTGGCCCTGATTACGGCGCGGCTGACACAAAATGCCGCCAATATCGAGAAGCGAGTTTGTGGCGTTCGAGCGACCGCTGCGAGACGGCGTTCTTCAGGATGCTCTTTCCTACTGGGGCCCCCCCGACTCTCTTCCTCCTAATGAAATCACATTGCCCGTCTGGCCGACACAATGTGGGGCTGGCCCAGCGTTGATGTTTTTTTATGTTGGGGTGAATTCAAAGCAGCCGAGAGGAGCATTCCGGGTGGCGGCGAGAGAGGGAGGGGTGTCGACAACAATTTCTGGCTTTCGTCTTTGACGCGCCAACAAGTAGGGCAATTTAATTATTTAAATTCACTGTAAATAACCTCAACGTTCAAAGGGCTCGTGGTACGTACGGTTTGACACAGACGTAATAAATACACGACGTTCCGTTGGCAGCTAGCGTTCCCATCGCGCTAAATATCCCTTCTAGACGTTTGACCCACTAAAACAAACCACATGGAGAAGAAAAAAAAATCCATATCGCGCAGTAAAAATTTTTTTTCTATATATATCAGAGGGTACCAAGCCAAACTCCCAACGGGACGCGCCCCGCCCCGTCTGCACACACAACACACACAGCCCCACAGTTTGTGGATCCTTGTGGGCTGCGGTTAAAGTGCAAGGGGCCGTTTGTGCATCTCGTGTTACCCTGGGCCGCTTTGGACCGCTGGACTCAATGGGGCTTTATCGTGGCAAAGCGGAGACTTCTGTCTGCGTGGCGCTGGTTGAGGGACACCATCGGCCGTGCTAACGGGTCGCTGCTTTAGCAGGAGGCTCGCCGCAATATACACAGCAGATTCTCGATTATCCGCGTGCGGTTTATCCGATTTGCGGGTTGACCGCGAACCTGAGATTTTCGACGTGAATTACCAACTCGTGGATTTTCCCTTGAGCCCAAATGAATAATCTGAAAACAGTTGTACATTGTTATTCTTGGAAATGTTGATTACGAGTGACGTGCTTAGACCGAACGAATGTGTGCCCCGGTTCATTTCGAAATCCACGTGGATTGCTTGTGCAGCACAACAGTTGTGTATCTTTACAACAGTAGGTGGAGTTTGATAGATTTTGATTGGCCAGCCACTTAGTGGGCCGAGTCTTCTGCTCGGGAGCAGGAAAGTGTTATCACTGAGCACGCGCAGTGATAGCAAACTAAATTTTCTTAACTTAAACATAATTACTATCTATAGAAGTGTTTTACTGGTAGGAACCACCTGCTTCCACCAGCCCACAGGGGATTATTGTGTCCGTCCGTCCATCGTGCATCCAAAAATGGGAGGGGTGGGGCTGGGTGGAGAGGGGAGGGTGGGGAGGGCTGGGTGGGGAGGGTGGGGCTAGGTGGGGGGTGGGAGAGGTGGGGCTGGGTGGGGAGGGGCTGGTCACCCCGTGGTGCCCTTATAAAACTCAACGTTTAACCTACTCACGCCGGCTTGTGCCCGCCCTCACAGTCGGGCATATTTGTGGAATACACCACGCCGCCGTTGACCCTGGCCATTGACCGAGCAACCCAACGTTCCTACCAGCTCCCTCCGCAGGAATGTGTTTTGGCATAGAGATCCGCGGGAAATGGGTATTTTTGAATTATCCGCGTCCGTCCTCCCCGTCATTATCACGGATAATCTAGAGTCTCGATGGGTTAGATCGCATAAATATGAATGTGTCGTTAAACCCGCTACCACCCGACACATTTCTATTTACGCGATTATGGATGAAATTGGTCACGAAAGCCCACGTGTTCATCCAGAGCCTACTGCTTATGTTTTCACGATGTGACAATCGTCAATTCAGTATCCCGTAACTTTGCGAGTTGTGTTTTGGGTATTTGGCGTACGTTCGAGTCACGGCTAGAGTTTGTTAGGCTGCAGTTCACTCATCGTGATCGTGCCGTGGGGTGTGGATCGTTACACCCTCAGCGATTTGGCCACCGCCGCCGCTTACCATTAAACACTTTCGCCTTTCCGGTTTTGCCGTGGGTTGTTTTGTGGTTTTGCGAGAAATTAGTGCACAATAATAAACGTGTCGCCATATCGAAGCATTTGGCCGATGAACCGGAGTTGTGAATGGAAAAAAATATTAATTGAAGTCGTTTCTTCAGTACCCTTCTCCAGTGACCAGCGCAATTTTTTTTTTTTACAATTTTAGTAGCAAACTTTTACTACTTGTTTTTTGTATACAAGTCAACATTCTAAATTAAGAGAGGTTATATCACCAGAGGGTGGGGGAACGGTGGCTGTGAACCTGGCGACCCGAGTTCCTTTCCACGGCTACCGTGGGCGACGAGTGACGATCCGAACTGATCCTGCACTCCCTCTCGCCCTCCTGGATGCCTTCACCGACCCCGCACTGACCACCAGTGGAGAAGTATGGTCAAACAAGCCACGTGCGCCGGCATGGCATGCCATGGAGAGGCCTTCATCCAGCAGTCGATTGACAAGGTCTGATCTTCTGTTGTCCTTCCCCTCCTACATCTCCGATCAGCGCGGTTGGTTA